GGGGTGTGCAGGAGGTGGTTGATCGATGTTTCACTCTCACACTGATGTTTCTCTTTCTGTCTCTCCTTTCCTCTCTCTCTAAAAAATCAATTTTAAAAAATTTTAGTCCTGGCCGGTTTGGCTCAGCAGTGAGAGCGTCCACCTGCGGTCCGGAGAGACCCGGGTTCGGTTCCCGCTAAGGGCATGTACCTCGGTTGCAGTTTGTCCCCAGCCCTGGTTGGTCGTGCGGGTGGCAGCCACTCGATGTGTCCCTTTCACATCGATATTTCCCTCTCTCTCTCTTCCTCTCTCTCCCTCCCACTCTGTCTGTACAAAAAATGGGAAAATGTCCTCGAATGAGGATAAAAAAAAAAAAAAAAGAAAGAAATTTTTAAAAATAGAGGATGGTAGAAAAGAGCAGCAGCAGCAGATCTTCTGGCGTCTGGTCCCCAGTGACACCTTACGAGTTGTGTTCACATCAAGTATGTTGGGCATCTCTCTCTGTGTGGTTTAAGTCATGTTCCTGGTTACATGATCTCCAAGCCTGACTGACTTTCCAGCTTTCCCAGAGATTTTATGAGCTTCCTACAATTTTAAAGTAAATTGCAGGGCCCACCTAGATGGACCTAATAATGACATCCACAGGGGTGGAGAGTTTGGAGAAACAAGGTAGGTCGGAAAGGTGTTTTCCCAGACTGTGACCAGAAGATACTCAAGAAGAAAGCTATTGTGAGACTGTCAGCTACTTCAGATTGTCTTTTCCTCTGTCCTTCTTTTACACAGCTGATATCATATCTGACTTGTTGCTTTCAGCCTCGGTGCTTTTCATGTGTTTGTATCCCCAGATATATGTAGTTCAATTGCCTTCATGAGGAAATGTGCATAAAACAAATCTCTTTCAACAACGTGAAACATGTACACAACTGTTTTGAGAACAGTCCATGTTTTTTTTTTTTCAGTCATAATTTCTCTGCCTGACGAGGTCTATATGTCTGCACTCAGTACAGATCATGAAAATGGCAACTGGGAAACAGATAAGCATTTTCTGCCTTCATTCCTGGATATTGCCTAAATGGGACTTAGAGAGGCGTCTCCAAAATCAATGTGGAAGTAAGTAGTAGGACAGAAACTCCAAGTTCACTCTTTTCAACACCCCTTACTGCCTGGACTAGATGTTGTATTTCACACTAGGCTGAGCAGTGGTGTTCTGGAGCTACTCGAATCAGCTCATGAGAACCACTTCTGCCCATTTATTCCTAATTCTGCCTTCAGTGGCATTACATTGTTAGCTTGAAATGGGCCACTATAGGAAAAACAGGCAAACCTACAAATCAGGGCTTTTCCCTGCTCCCCTTTTTCTGGAGAGCCAGTTAGATGCCAGCACACAACTGGGCTAACGTGACTGGATCAGAAGACTTTGAATGGGCTTATTTTGAGTTCCTTTCTCTTTGAATCTTTCTTATTTTGTTCAAGATTTGCATTATAAGAAGTTGTGATATTGACTTGAATTAGTACAGTTCTTTTTATTTTTATTATTATTTTTTTTAATCCTCACCCGAGGATATTTTTCCATTTTTTGTACAGATAGAGTGGGAGGGAGAGAGAGGAAGGGAGAGAGAGTGAGAAACATCGACATGAAGGGACACATCGAGTGGCTGCCACCCGCACGACCAACCAGGGCCGGGGACAAACTGCTACCGAAGTACGTGCCCTTTGCGGGAACCGAACCCGGGTCTCTCCGGACCGCAGGCCGACGCTCTAACCGCTGAGCCAAACTGGCCAGGGCAGTACAGTTCTTTTTAGATTTCAGAGTCATAAAATTTGAAGAAAATATTAGAAGGGTTGCTATGTTTTTAGCTTTAGGACATTTAAAAGTTAGTTTCTAAAAAATCCAATCTATCAATGTAACTATATGAAGTGTAAAGTTGTATAAGACTAGTGTCACATATCTGTAACTTAGTCCATAAGTTCTTGTCTAGAAAAAATATCTATTTTTAAAGTTTTCTTTAAATTCTCTTGGTTGGATGCTAGTCTCCATGGTGACCCCCAGTCTAGTGGCTCTGCTGCCCCCCTCCCCCGATGGGGGGGGGGGAGACACCAGTTTCAACCTTCATCATCGTTTCAAAATTGAAGGAACATTTTAATAACAAAAAGGGGGAGGAAGGATATAATCTCAGAATTTAGAAGTTGAAAATATTTAGTTTTGTGAAAAATTCATTCTATTGTCCATATTTTAATCATTTAACTGAAGACTAATGAAAATATTGCCAAGGATAATGATCCCACAAGGCAGGGATTTTTTTCCTCTTTGCAGATATGTATCTCAAGCACCTACAACACTATCTGGCACATAGTTGGCACTCAGCTAATATTAAACAAAAGAACGAAGGACTTGTACTAATCTGAGGACCAAAGTTTGGCCAACCCTGGTATACGCTACCCAAGCTGGTCTCTTTTATAGTTAGATAACATAGTTGAAGCATTTAAGGAGATATGAAAAGAAGGAGATACATGCCTAAAGATGACTTAATATCAAATTGGATGCTGCAATATTTTAAGAAAACTGTATAGTACCTTTATTTAAGGTATTAGAAATGTCTTTGCTAGAAGTTGGAGAGCCTTTGCATGGGTCACTACTCTTCCCTTGGAATCAGGAGCACACCGAGATTGAAAGCTTGCAAAGATTTGATGGAAGGGGTAGGATCTGAAGCTCCCATTTACTGTAATTCTATTGTCAGGGTCATTGGGAACATCATTTGCAGCTGCACCTATGAGGTGGTGGGAGCAGTCGTAATCCTCTTCTTCAGATGAGGACACTGGGACCAGGAGAGGCTCATCCAGAATCATTGTGGAGGTAAGAGGTGGAAGTGTGGACATTGAGTTACAAACATTAGAAACAGGGAAATGAGCAGAGTCCCAATGAGCAATCAACTTTCCTTACACCATTTCTCCTTTTCACATCCTGCCAGATATGGTAAATAAGCATAGCCCTTTGGGTGAGGTTGTAGGTCCTTGTAACCAACAGTATGAGAAAAGATAGAAGAAATGAAAACACCTACGGCGGTGTAAAGGTTCAAGATGAATGACAGTTGCCTCATTTTATTTGTAAAGTTCAAGTATAAGCCCAGTAATATTGTTCTTCAATTTAATGTGTTTTTGAGCTTATACATAGGTTCCAACCTGCGAAAAGTTGTGTTCTAAAAGACTTCTGCCCTGGCCGGTTTGGCTCAGTGGTAGAGCGTCGGCCCACGGACCAATGAGTTGCAGGTTCCATTCCAGTCAAGGGCACGAACCTTGTTTGCAGTTCATACCTGGCCCTGGTCAGGGTCGTGCATGAGACAACCAGTTGATATGTCCCTCTCAGGTCGATGTTTCTCTCTCTCTCCCTTTATCTCCCTCTGTCTCCCTCCCTCCCCCTCCAACTGTGTCTGAAGATAAATAGAAAAAAAAAAAAAAATCCACGGGTGGGGATTAAATAAATAAATGGCTTGTAAGGAGGCTGTTTAGAACCAAGAATACACTCTCGTAAAGAAGTATCATAAAATAGTGATTAGTTTCTTAGACAAGCCTACAAAAGCCTATCTAGTCCATAATGTCACTGAAAGCTGTGCTTATAAAAGAAATACCGCTGTAAATATAATGGGTGGCTTCAGTTATACTTGTTTCAGCAGCTCCTAAGACTGCACCTCCATAGACTGAGCCCTAGATCTGAATTTCATTCTCATTAATAAGAGTGGTAAAATGCTTACATTGCAGATGCTCTGGCCAGGCACCGTTCTAAGCACTTGACATATAGAAACTCATTTAATCAGCACAATAATCCTGTAAGGTAGGTATTATTATTTTCCTTATTTTAAAAATCCCTAGTCTAGCTCGAGTTTCCTTGGCTAGTAAATGGAGGGAGGTAGAATTAGAATCCAGGCAGTCTGGTACCAGGGTTTGTGCTCTTAACCACTATAATATGTTGAGTTTAGTAAAATATAATTGGCTTTTATCATATCAATCTTTGTTTCAATAGAGAGGAGAGGGAAAATAACTGATTCAGGAGGGTATTGGTGTGGCAGGCGACAGTACACTTCTTAAACTATGACAGAACTTAGCACAAAGTAGGTGCTCAGAAAATATTTTTTGATTGAGTTAAAGTAATAAATTATTATTATCTTGGGTGGTGGGCATCTTTGGGATTCATTTTTATAAGTTTATGAGATCCGGAGTGATGAATTATTATACAGAAGATCCAGATGAAACTCTCTATTGCGCCTGGGGAAGCACTGACCTTCCCCAGCTAAATGTTATCATCACACTTTAAACTGCAATATTACTCAAGATCGTAATCTGCCCCAGTACGTTTTCACTTCCTTGTTAGGTCTTTGAGAGCTTTGAATAGATGCTTTTTATATTTTTCCAGTTTTTCTATTTGTCTTCAGTGGCGGGTTGGTCTGAATCACCTCGTTCACCACTGGAAGGAAAAGTCCCTGGCTCACTATTTTATCACTCCTCCACCACGTCTAGAACAGCGCTTTCCAAAAGAAATATCATGCAAAAAAAGCTGTGGTACATGTACACAATGGAGTACTATGCAGCTGTAAGAAAGAAAGATCTCTTATCCTTTGAGACGACATGGAGGGACCTGGAAAGTGTCATCCTAAGCGAAACAAGCCAAACAGAGAAAGACAAATATCACATGATCTCACTTATTTGTGGAATATAATGAACTAATGAACGTAACAGTCTGAGTAATGGGGTAGTACCAGAGGCGTGGAGGTGGGGTATAGACAATCCCCAGAAGAAGGGGTGGTGGGGGAGAGATAAACCACAGAACTTATATGCATGTGTGCATGAACAATGGACATGGACAACAAAGCTGGGGACAGAGCGGGGAGGGAGGAGAAGGGGAGAATCAGTTGGGGGGAAAGGAGAAACATCTGTAACAAAAATTCATTAATTAATTAAGAAAAATAAATTTAAAAATACCAAAAAAAAAGAAAAAAAATATTTTATTGCTAAAAATTGCTCACCATCAGCGAGTCATAACCTTTTTGCTGGTAGAAGGTCTTGTAAAAACCAGTCTCTGTGAAGTGAAATAAAGGGAAGTGTGCCTGTAAAAATCAAAAACAAAAAAATATATAAAAACAAGAGAAATATTATGCAAGCCACATAGTAATGTTTAATTCTCTAGTGGCCATGTTTTAAAAGTTAGAAAACAACAATAATAAAACAGCATTAATTTAAAATTCCTTCATGTAACTCAGTATATTCAAACTATTATCATTTCAATACATAATCAAGAAATCATTGAGTTTTTTTTGTACTGTCTTCAAAATCTAGTTGTATATTTTACACTTTTAGCAGACTTCACTTGGGACTAGCCACATTTCAAGTGTTCGGTAGCCTCTTTGGATTAGCAGCTAACCATATTGGACCACACAGGTCTAAACCCACATCACTTCTTCTAAAACAGAGATCTTATCAAAATATTTCTTGTCTCAAAAATCTTCACACACTGGCCGGTTTGGCTCAGCGGTTGGAGCGTCGGCCCACGGTCCAGAGAGACCCGGGTTCAGTTCCTGCTAAGGGCACGTACCTCGGTTGCAGTTTGTCTCCGGCCCTGGTTGTTCATGCAGGTGGCAGCCACTCGATATGTCCCTTTCACGTCGATGTTTCTCTCTCTCTCTCTCTCTCTCCCTCCCACTCTATCTGAACAAAATATCGAAAAAAATGTCCTCGGGTGAGGATAAAAAAAAAAAATCTTCAATGACCCCATATTGCCTACTAATTTAAGAACAAGTTCTTACCCTAGTATTCCAGGTCTGTACAAAAGGAGCGTTACCTAGGACTTCCAGTTTCCAGTCCAGCACGTAAGAAGTTATGAAGTCACTACTCCATCCTACAAGTACAAAAAAGCTGAATGAATTGAAAAAATCAACAATTATTAGATCCATAAGTGAGGTCACAGATCAAAAACTGCTCTCAAAATTGGAGACTGACTGGTGAATACAGACCATCATAATTTACCCCTCATTTATTGCTGGTGGACTGCAAAATAATAAAGCCACTTTGGAAAATGGGTTGTCTGTTTCTCACAAAACTAAACATACTTCGCCATATAATCCAGCAATCAAACTCCTTAATATGTATTCCCAAAGGTTAAAAACTTATGTCCACACAAAAATCTGCACATAGCGCTGGCCAGTGTTTCTCAGTGGTTAGAGTGTCAGCCCGCAGACCAAAGGGTCATGGGTTCGATTCCCAGTCAAGGGCATGTACTAGGCTTGTAGGTTCAATTCCCAGTCCAGGTTGGGGAGTGTGCAGGAGGCGACCAATCAATGTGTCTCTCTCACACTCATTCTCTCTCTTTCTCTCTCCCCTTCCTTTCCTCCCTTCCACTCTCTCTAAAAGTCAGTGGAAAAAATATCCTCAGGTAAAGATTAACCAAAAAAAAATTCTGCACACAGATTTTTAGTAGCTTTATTCATATTTGCCAAAATTTAGAACCAACAAAGATGTCCTTCAGTGGGTGAATGGTACACCCAGACAATGGCATATTATTTGGCACATAAAAGAAATGAGCTATCAAACTGTGAAATGACATGGAGGAACTTTAAATTCACATATTAAGTGAAAGAAGCCAATCTGAAAAGGCTACATACGGTACAAGTCCAAACCAAGGCAAAACTATGTAGAAAGTAAAAAGATGAATCGTTGGCAGGAGTTAAGGGAAGGAGGGATGAATAGGCAGAGCACAGAGGATTATTTTATTTTATTTTTCTTTATTGATTTTTTAGAGAGATGAAAGGGGAGAGAGAGAGAGAGAGAGAGAGAGAGAGAGAGAGAGAGAAACATTGATAAGAGAGAACATCGATCGGCCGCCTCCTGCATGCCCCCACTGGAACTGGGCCCACAACTTGCGCATGTGCCCTGACTGGGAATCGAACTGGAGACTTCTTGGTGCATGGGTCAACTGATGGGGCAGGCTATACATGTGTGGGGGTGGAGGGTATATGGGAAATCTCTGTACCTTCTACTCAATTTTGCTGTCAACCTAAAACTGTTCAATAAAAATAAAATCCGTTTTTTAAAAAAAGTATCCACTGAGCCACACCGGCTGGGCAAGCACAGAGGATTTTTAGGGCAGTGAAACTACTTTGTATGATAACATAATGGTACATACATATCATTAACATCTGTCCAAACCCTTGGAGTGTGCAATACCAGAGTGAACGATAGTGTAATCTATGGTCTCTGGGTGGTGGTTCTATGTCATTGTAGGTTCATCAGTTGTAACAAATGTGCCACTCTGATGGGGCAGGTTATACTTATGTGGGGGTGGAGGGTATATGGGAAATCTCCGTACCTTCTACTCAATTTTGCTGTCCACTTAAAATTGTTCTAAAGAAATAAAATCCATTTTTTAAAAAAGTATCACTCTACACTTTACAGCTTCATATTCACTATTGCTATAGACTGAAGGTTTGATTCCCCCCAACCCCTAATCCAGATGTTGAAACCTAATCCTCAGTGTGATGGTATATGAATGTGGGGCCTTTGGTAGGAGATTAGGTTCCAAGGCAGAGTCCTCATGAATGGGATCATTGCCCTTAAGAAACAGACACCAGAGAGCTCCCTTGGTTCTTCTACCACGTGAGGACACAGCGAAAGACGGCCATCTATGAACCAGGAATGGGTTCTCGCCAGGAACTGAATCTGCAGAGTCTTGATCTTAGACTCTCCAGCTTCCAGAACTGTGACAAATAAATTTCTGTTGTTTATAAACCACCCACTTTATGTTATTTTGTTATAGTAGCTCAAACAGGCTAAGACATCTATCCTCACACATAAAACTTATACTCAAAGCAACTAGTTTTCATGTTTCCAGAACAACCACACTTTTCTCTGCACTTTTTACTCACTTTATGATTATACCAGTCCCAGCTAACAATTGTTGAGCACTGATTATATGCCAATAAATGTGTATTATTATTTGATTTTTATAACACTAGGAGGTGGGTACAATTCTTATCCTCATTTGATAGAGAGGAAATTAAAGTTCTGAGAGATTATATACCTTGTTCAAGAGGACAGAACTGGTTGCTGATTTGGGATTGAACCCAGTTTTAAAAGTAGTGTTTTCCCAACAGTATCATTTTGTTTCCCACTGACTGGAACTTCCTTCCCTCATCTCTGCTTCCTGAAATTCTGTTCCTCCTTTATTCACCACCTCAGAAGACACTTTTTTCAAAAAACCGTTTTAAAATCTCCAACCGGATGTCTTTTCTTCAGCCCCTATAAAAGGCTCCCTTGTGGCATACTCAGAGATTCTGAAAGAGAGAAATCATGTCCTTAATTTCCTACTTAATATTACAATTATTTATTTCCTTGCCACTCAAGTCTACTTGTTAGCTCCCGAAATACTGGAGTTATGTGTATCTTACTCATCTTTTATCCTCTACGGTATATATTGCAGTGATGTATTAGACACTCAATCAATATTTTCTGACATGGTTTAAATCATTTCAACAGCCTTCAATCCAGTCTTCTTTACAATCTTATCCTATATACCACTGCCAAACTGTACAATTAGAATGTATTATTATCATGCCATTTTACTACAAATACTTTCTGTTGCCTGTGGCATTGCCCCATAAATTACTCATCTTTGACCACTGTACTCAGCTAGAACAGATTTTTCACTTTCAACATCTGCTGTAGTCAAGCTGGTGCCATGGGCCTCCCACACCACTCCCTTCCATCACAGATTAGGAAACATCTGAATGAAATAAGAGGGGAAATGAAAGCTGAACAAGAAGCCAAGGCCTTCTCGTGGTTTTGAAGGCATAATCTGTTAGCTTCATGCACCTTAAAAGTTAGCTGCTTTAAGTCTCTCCAAGGAACTCTCTTATTTCGTTTTAAAGAAAAGGACTGAATTTTAGGACGATACTGATGCTAGTTTTATTCTGTTAATTTACCCAAGTGATTAACGTTGTACCAGAAATTTAATAATAGACATTATTTTTATTAAAATAGCTCACTTGTTACTGACTCTTCTGGACAAGAAATACACCAAAGTGAGCTGAAGAATACAGTAATTCCCCCTTATTCATGAGGGACACGGCCCAAGACCCAGAGTGGATGACTGAAACCACAGAGACTACTGCACCCTACATATACTATGTTCTTTTCCTATACAGACATACCTATGATAAAGTTTAATTTATAATTAGGTATAATAAGAAATTAATGATAATAATAAAATAGAACAATTATAACAATAAAAGTTATGTGAATGTGATATCTCTTTCAAAATATATTTTTGTATTGTACTCACCCTCTTCTTGTGATAATGTGAGATGATACCATGCTCATGTGATGAGACAGTAAGGTAGAATTTCCCATTTAACATTTTTGGACTGCAGTCGGCCACAAGTAACTGAAACAGAAGAAAGTAAAACTGTGGATAAAGGGGGACGACTGTATAATTAATAAGGTATAGGAGACTAGAAACTTAATTAACTGTTAAAATTATCAAGTTTACACTTTGTAGAAAGAAAATATGATTCTTGAATCACTGGAAGAAATAATGTTCTAAATTGAAAATGTACATTATTTCTGTATAGATTATCTGCTTGGTGCATTATTCTTTTTTTAAAATTTTTTCTTATTTATTGGTTTCAGAAAGAGGAAAGGACAGAGAGAGAGAAAAGAGAGAGAGAGAGAGGACAGAAACATCAGTGTGTTGTTGCACTTATTCACACATTCATTGGTTGCTTCTGCATGTGCCCTGACTGGGGATCAAACCACAACCTTGACATATCAGGACAATGCTCTAACCAACTGAGCTACCCAGCCAGAGCTGCTTGGTGTATTATTCACTAGAAATATCTGATCCCAGGAGACATCCCCCATTATCCCAGGTGCTTCTCTCTGTCCCCTGGCAATGCATGCTCTAAGAAGGAAGGTTAATTTTACCAAGAAATCAAAACAAGACATAACTAAGGAGTACTTGGGGTGCCAAAGATTCACTCCAACAAGTGAATAACAATACATGTGACCCACTTGATGTGTTACAATGGATTTTCAAGGTGAGCGACAAGAAATTTGGTAGTAATAATAAAGTACCCAAATTGGCCATTGATATATTTAAACATTGATTTGAGCAGAATCAGGTTCTCTCTGTAACAAAGTCACTTTGCTATGTGTGCATTCCAACACGCTTTCTGGGAGAGGAAGGAGGAGTTAATGGAGAGCTACCCGAGACTGACATTATGTTGTGAGTGTTCCAGTAGACATGTGTCACAAATGTAAACAGTAGCTGTCTTCTCCTCAGTGGTGGAGAAAAGTAGAGAATATCTGAGCTAATGGATGTCTGAAACTGTACATTATTTGTTTTGTCACCCAGCTTCCATAGCTTCTTCTTGTGGCAACAGCATCCTAATTTTAAAATGGGGACCTCATACACCTACCGACTCCTGGGCTTAAGATAGAAGCAAGTTTATGCCTCGCTCCAGGGGTGGGTGTAAGTCCTAAGGCTAGTGCATCAAAGCTTTGCATCGTCTGGCTAGAGTGACGAGAAAAAATTTGGGGCTGAGGTAATGAGCAGAAGGAATTGAACCAAGGCTACTGAGATTTTATGGGACCTGTATTGTCCAAGAAACCCCAAGCCTAGCAGTCCATCGCCCTTCTAGGCTGCCAACTTGCACCACAGCTAAAGCTAAGTAGTCAGTCTTCAGAAAGGGCATTTACCCCATGCCCACCTCTGGCACAGCCATGGAGAACAAGGGACAAGCCAGACCATCTAGCAGGAAGAACCAGAGGCCATGATGGACAATAAGATCCCCACAGAGAATAAACCTGGAGGTTGACAGTTGATTGTCCAAAAAAGTCACCCCACTGCCAGGGAAGAAGTCTTCCATGCTCCTGCCTAGCAAGATATCGTGGATACTGTGGGCCAATGGCAATGGTGTACTATTTTCCATCCAATCTCTCCTTTCCAGAATTAGGTTTTTTGTGTAGGTACATCGTTTATGTTTTTCCATCATTTTAAAAGATATATTAGATATAAATAACTTAAGTTTTAGGTTGTCAGGGCTCAAGGGGACATATTATATGCCTCAGCCAAAAATCCTGGTCTTAGAAATGAACACAATAACCAGCTAAGGTTCTGGGTTGTCTCACTAGGGAGGGGATGTTGATAAGCACTCTTTTATATTGGTATGAGCATTTTTATTTATTTATTATATGTTTTTATTGTTTTTTATTTTTTTATTTTTTATTCTTTTGGTATGTGCCCCTAGCGGGAACCGAACCTAGGACTCTCCGGTCCGCAGGCCAATGCTCCAACCACTGAGCCAAACTGGCCAGGGCTTTATTGATTTTTTAGAGAGAGAGATAGAAACATTGATGTGAGAGACAAACACACTCCCCCACACTGGGGTGAGCCCACAACCCGGGCATGTGTCCCCACCAGGAGTCAAACCGAGACCTCTCAATTCATGGGATGACACTCAGTTCACTGAGCCACTTTGGCCGGGCAGTATGAACATTTTAAAACACAACCGTTCACCCCTTACTTACTTCCCAAAGAAATTCTAATGTTGCTTAGAGAAGCACTCTCCACAGGACAATGCGCTGAAATGAAGTCAGAGAGGTGGCCTAGGAGCAGGTCATAGTTGTGGGCTCCTTAAGACTTTTGTATTATATTCTAAATTCACTAAAATACAAGCTCCATGAGATTATGGATTTTTGTCACTGCTGAATGCCAAAACAGTGCCTAGCTTGGCAAATTCATAAAAAGTTATGGGAGTAATGTGATCTGCTGTACAAGGAATATACTATAGTGTGGGCTACAAAAGAGCAGAGTATAGCCTAGAAGTAGGGAAGTCAGTGCTAACACAAAAGAAATGATGGAAATTTAAACTGGAGGGTTGATGGTGGAGGTCAAGGATGGCCAGACCTGTATTGCATTTGGAAGACAGAAGGACAGAATTTGCTCATATAAACCCTGAGAGAAGACAGAAGAAACGAAACAGTGATTGAGCAATGTTTAACTCAAAATCACATGGCTTAACTGTAAAGCTTAAAATAGTCTCTAGAGTTTCTCTCTTTATCCTCATCTGAGGATATGCTTTGATTGATTCTTTTTAGAGAGATGGGAATGGAGAGATAGAAACATCAAGGTGAAGGAGAAACACCGGTTGGGTGCCTCTTGCATGAGCCCCACTGGGGATTAAGCCCACAACCTAGGCATGTGCCCTGACTGGGAATGGAATCAGGACCTCTCAGTCCATGGGACGATGCTCAATCCACTGAGCCACACCAGCCAGGCTATTTCTAGAACTTGAAAGAAATTTAAAAATCCTGTACATTGATTACTTGTTGTGTCATGTCTAAGAGAAAGCCAAACTTTATCCTTAGGTATTTTTCTAAGAATTTTATCATTTTAGCTTTTACATTTAGATTTTTAAAGTATTTGAATAAATGTTTATATATTGTGTGAGGTGGCATGCCAACTTCATTTCTTTACATCTGGTTATCCAGTTGTCCCAGCACCATTTATTGAAAAGACTATTTTTTCCCCATTGAATTGTCTCGGAACCCAATAAACTTGATTTAACATAGATGAAAGTGTTTATTTCCTTATTCTTAATTCCGTTCCATTGGTCTATATGCCTATTCTTATGCCAGCAATACACTGTGATGTTTACGTTGGTTTCTAGTAAGTTTTTTTTTGTTTTTGTTTTTGTGTTTTTTATCCTCACCCGAGGACATTTTTCCATTTTTTGTTCAGATAGAGTGGGAGGGAGAGAGAGGAAGAGAGAGAGAGAGAGAGAAACATCGACGTGAAGGGACACATCGAGTGGCTGCCACCCGCACGACCAACCAGGGCCGGGGACAAACTGCAACCGAGGTACACGCCCTTAGCGGGAACCGAACCCGGGTCTCACTGTACCGCAGGCCGACGCTCCAACCGCTGAGCCAAACCGGCCAGGGCTCTAGTAAGTTTTGAAATTGGGAAATGTGAGTTCTCCAACTTTATTTATTTTTCTGCTTGTTCATTTATTTTGTTTTTGTTTTTCTAGATTCAATTGTTGATAGATGTATTTATTGACATTTTATTGTTCATATATATATATATTTTTCAATCCTCACCTTAGGACACTTCTGCATGTATCTTCAGATAGAGGAGGAGGAACACAGGGAGGGAGAGAGAGAAAGAATCATTAATGTGAGAGAAACATATCAAGTGGTTACCACCCACACGACCCCAACCAGGGTGGGAATAACTGCAACCGAGGTACATGCCCTTAGTGGGAACCGAACCCAGGACTCCCGGTCCATGCTCTAACCACTAAGCGAAACGGGCTCAGGGTTATGTTCATATTTTTTATCTTTAATTTTTCTTCTTCTTCTTCAAGAAGACTCTTTAATGCCCTGGCCGTTTTGGCTCAGCAGTTAGAACATCAGCCTGTGGACCAAATAATTGTGGGTTCAATTCTGGTCAAGGGCACTTAACTCACTTGCAGTTTGGTCCCCAGCCCTGGTTGGTGTTGTGCGGGAGGCAATCAATGTCTCTCTCTCTCTTTTGTTTAGAGCAAAACAATTGTATTGCATGCATCTGGGTGCAGGTGGGCTGAGCCAAAAAGGTGTCAGCCTCGAATAGCAGTTGGGGTGTAGGTCATATACTCTACTTCTAGCTTCCGGCAGTTCCTGCTGACATACTCTGCCTGGCCCATTGTCCATTTTGCAGTTGGATTAGTCTGGTTTCACATCCTGCACCTGCTGGGTGATTCATTGTTTTGCCCATAATCTGATAATCTGTAGTCTACAGAAGGCTGAGCAAAGGTCATGCAAGCAACACATTTTTTCACAGTTTCCGCCTTTTCCCAGCTTTTACATTTTACCTTTGAAACATTACTAACCCTTTCATTCCCATCTTATAATGATTATAAAAATGGAATAGGGGCAGAATGTGTCTCTCTCACATTGATGTTTCTCCCTCCCCCCCCCCAACCCCCATCACCATCTGAAGATGAATGGAAAGGATCCTTGGGTGAGGATTAAAAAAAAAAAAAAGACTTTATCATTTTATATAATCATATAATACTGGTTTGGTGATCATTAACTCCCTTTGTTTTTTGGGGGATTTTGTTTGTTTGGTTTTTGGTCTGGGAAGCTCTTTATCTGTCCTTTGATTCTAAATAACAGGTTTGCAGAATAGAGAAATCTTGGTTGTAGGTCCTTACTTTTCATCACTTTGAATATTTCTTGCCAATTCCTTCTGGCCAGCAAAGATTCTGTTCAGAAATCAGCTGACAGTTTTATAAAAGCTCCCTTGTAGGTAACTAACTGCTTTTCTTTTGCTACTTTTAGAATTCTCTCTTTGTCTTTAACCTTTTGTATTTTAATTATGATGTC